ATTGTGATGTAGCTTTATTCGAATTCTAATACGCATTTAATTCATCTCCCGATTAAAATGGATCGATCTTTGTAAATTTTAATTGGAGATTATTCAATANACAATTTCCGGTTACAAAATCTTCGGTAACGTGCAGAATAGACCTGTAAAAGTAAATTTATCCACACAAAATTCGTCACCCAAATGCAACTCCATTTTTGCATTAACAATCTAAATGCTCGTCGGCCGCTGTGGTGTGGTGGTAAGCAGTGCGCGCTTCCACTCCGCAGCACCCGGGTTCAAACCCTGGTCAAAGCAACATCGCAAAAAATATAGAAAAAAGGTTTTTTTCTGAACAGCGGTCGTCCGTATTATTGAAGCGTATTCATAGTCCAGCAACTAAGTCGAAACTAACAAAGTTGAAACTTAAATTTAAGTACCAACTTAAAATTTACCTCTATTCAGAGTCGCATTTCAGACTTCTATTAAGTAGTTTCGACCTAGTTTACGATATCGCAAAACGAGTTTGAAAATGTATAGATTTTTCTTTACGATATTTTGGAAAAATTACATTTTTATTAAATAATGTCAAGTTTGATCATCCGTTTATGTAATTTTTATTTTCATTGCATGATTATGCAAAAGAATAAGGTATCATTTTCTTGTTAATTGTGTGAAGTAGCCAGAACAACCGCAGTGATGTGAAGTCGATGTTTATCGAAAGCATGCTGTGAAACAAACAAATAGTAGATATCTAAATGTTATGCACAAATTTACTTTAAAAGAACTAGCGTGAAACTGACTTATTATTTGAGAATTTATCTAAATTATTCCAATTATGAAATTGTGATGTAGCTTTATTCGAATTCTAATACGCATTTAATTCATCTCCCGATTAAAATGGATCGATCTTTGTAAATTTTAATTGGAGATTATTCAATATTATCAAAATCACCCTCTACCAACTTGATTTTTACATATTTCGTCTGTTTTCCCTTAATTTGATAAAATACTTCTTCTTAGTTACGAATTACAGGTCTGTTCTGCGCTGGTAATAAAAAGTTTGTAACCGGTAAGGGCCGGTTACTCAATGTCTGGTTAACACTAATCTGCAGTTAAACATCGTTATCGACGTCTTCGACTCCATGCATAAAACAGGAAGTCGGTAACGTCGATAACTATGTTTAACCGGAGATAAGTGTTAACCAGACATTGAGTAACCGGCCCTAAATAAAGTTCCTGCCAATTTTTAAACCCTTTTCGCATTCTGTGTATTCTTGTAAC